GTACACTAGAGTGTACATGAAAAAAAACACTAAATAATTGCAAAGAGTGAGCAAGATTTATTACAAATATGATTAAATTTTAATATATATTTTAAGTGTAGTGATGCATATTATGCAATAGTATAAGTCTCATAAATCTTTTTTTAGTACATTAAATAACAATAATATATGAAGTTAATTTTAAAGTTGTATAAGGAGTACAATGGCTGCTTTGTTATAGATTTGCTTTTTGATATATGCTTGCAAACTATTTTGAAAAAAATATAATTTGTCTCATTATGCAAAAGAACTAGAAATGTGGGGTTTTCAAATTAATCAACTAATTATCAAAGAAAAAGAATTCAAATGCATTTGAATTTAAATGGGTCTAGGACTTTTCTTTTTCAAGTCAGTATTGCTATTCAGTTGAGAATAATAGTGAGTTTTTTTTTAAATTTCTCAGTGATATTATAGATAAGATGACCTTCTGAAACTAACACCAATGATTTTGAGATTTCAAATGTTTTTATTTATTTTTTTATTTAAAAGTATTTCATTGTGAGAAATCTGGTTACATGCAAGATATTTGCTGATTTTGACCTGTTGTATTTCTGTTTAGACAATTTGACTGGTGATTAGTTTTTATTTAGTGCTAAAGAGTATCTAGCAAGAAGCTGGCAGGCATGTGCACATACTGAACTCATATCTTCACATCTTCTTGTCTCTATTTAATCAGACTGTTAAATTCACCCATGCAGATGAAGTCCCAAATACAACATGAAATATGGCTGCACTTCTTTTACAGTTGGATAGCTTTAGTGATCCTCATTTTCTCTCCTTGTACTGATAATTCAAAAAATAGAACTTGCTTTACAAGGCAGTATCAATCTACTGTACCTCTGTCATGCCTTGTATTAAGCTCAGTTTTCCATAGTTGGTTTTCATAATTTGGTGTATTTCCCCATCATATCATACCTTATTTTTCCAGAATCTGTGGGAGACTTGCTAAAGTAGGTCAGTCTCCTTTTTAAAAATTTGAAATTAAAGTAATTTGTAAAACTTTTATTTTGAAATACGCTGAAACAGAAAGATTACCAAAATAGTACAAAGAATTCTTAGGTGCCCCTCTCCCCTCAGCTTCCCCAGCTGTTAACCTCAATATAACACAGCCATAATGATCAAAACCAGGATGCCAACAGTGACACAGCAGTGTTAACTCTTCCAGACACCTAACTCAAATTTCATCCATAGCCCTACTAATGTCCTTTTCTGGGTCAGGATCCAATCCAGAATCTTCGTATGTTGTTTTCTCTCCTTAGTCTCCTTTATTTTGGGACAGACAGTTCCTATCTTTTTGTCTTCCATGATCTCCATGTTTGGTTCACTCTTATGTGGAATATCCCTCAGTTTGTCTGATGTTTCCTTATGATTAAATTCAGGTTATATATATCTTTTGGCAAGAATACCATAGCAATGATGCTGTGTCCTTCTCAGTACATCATATAGGATGACATGTGGTGTTTTTCTCAGTTTACTTGTTTAGGCATATCTGTTATTCACATATGGTACTCCACTGCTTAGAATGCCAGCTTTTTGTCTTTGTGCATCTAATTATATTTATTTTTTAAAATCTACCTTTTTTTGTGGTTTTCTCTGTTTGCTCCAGTTCATCTTCCTTCTCACTGCTCTGCAGTCCTTTTGCCCTAATTCTGTACATCCTTGACATGCTTATGGCGTGAAGGCTTATGTTAATCATATGGTTGTGACCCTCAACCACTATCAATCCCAGTTTACTCTTCCTTGTGGTATTGAGAATATATCAGTTTATATTGTCCACACATGCTCCCAGTAATCACTGTGGGTTAAATAGCATCAAAATTTAGCACTTAATTATTCTTACTCATTGAAAGTTAATTTTGTCTTCTAATTAGAAGTTGAGATATTAATATAATGACTATTATAATGACATATATTATAGACAAATAAGTATAATATTAACAGTATGTTGATATGATTTTTATAATATAGACTGCTTAATCTTTAAATTTTCAATAATTTAAGGTGAAGAGTATAGCTATATTTGGGGAATAATTTAAATGTAATTACTGTAAGAAATTGCACTTAGTTTTTTTTGCATACTTTTTAACATCAGTGTTAAAAGTAATTGTTGGTATAGAAGTAACAATTGTCAAAAAATTAGGACCATGATTAATAACCTCAAATCTGAAAAATTATTCAGAAAAATGACAACTGTAATATAGATGTATCAGTTTTATACAACAAATGGTTATAACAGTCAGAGTAACTGTTTAGAATAACTTTATAGAATGAAAACTTTCTTATATAGTCTTAAGGACTGTATCATTAAATTATTTTAAGTTGTAAGGCTGACCTTCTAAGAACTGAAAGGATGTCTGCAGTGATTAACTTATGTCCTCATTCTGTCCTTGTGCTGTCAGATAGACATATACTGCTTTCCACAGTTTACAGGTGAGATACTGGGGCACAAAAGCAATATCGTGCTTTGTCAGAGATCACCAAGTGAGTAGGATACAGAGACGCGGAGACAGAGCCAGGACTGGGCTCTTGGTTGGGTGGATTTGTACAGCCCTCTCCTATTATACTGTAAGTTCTGACAAATAAGATAGGCTTCCTCAGGCAAGGAGATTTTGACTATGCGGTTAGTAATCAGGCAGCATGGAGTAATGTATATTTTGTGAGGAAACTAGCGTTACTTTAGATTTGTGCCAGGGCAGAGGAATTTTCTCTGTAATGGTAAGATTGTGCCTTATGGAGGGAACTTGCATCATTAAGATTGAGTTGTTCTCTTGCAGATGCTTTTTACATGAGTTGTTAATATGTGTCCTGGCTGGGTGGCTCACAGGTTGGAGTGTTGTCCCATACACCAAAAGGTTGCGGATTTGATTTTCAGTCAGGGCACATACCTGGGTTGCAAGTTTGATTCCCCAGCCAGGGTGTATGCAGGAGGCCACTGATCTACGTTTCTCCCTTACATTGATGTTTCTTTCTCTGTCTGTATCTGTCTGTCTGTCTTTCTTTCTTTTCTCCCCTACCCACTTCTCTCTCTCTAAAATCAATAAATATATACTCCTATGAGGATTAAAAAATACAAGGAATAAAACTTTCCACCACATCACTGATAACAGCTCCATTGAATTTAATAGTTTTATAAATATTATCTTAAAAAACTATATTTTGACTGAAAAGATGGCCAAGATATATTGCTAAATGGAGAAAACAGGGAGATTGTAGAAGGATTCCTAACTTGTAAGAGGGTTCTTAACAGTGTGTGCAATGTAATTCTATCTGTGAAAAGAAAAATATATATATATATGTCTTTGTATGTGCATATTTGCATACTGTACCTATCTGAAAAGACACATCAGTCAGGGTCCTTAATTTTTAAGCAGATGAGATCAAGCCTGTCCAATATAAGCAGAAAAAATTTATTGAAGAATAATTAATAGTTCAGAGATCTCTGGGGTGACTAAGTACCTGGCTTAGAGGCCATATATCTATCTAGAAGCAAAACCCAAAATTCCACTGCACAATTGATTCTTCAAATATTCCCCAGCAGTTGTCAGTGGCCATGGAACTGCAGCCTGAAACATTTAATGCTTCTGAATTTGGGATACCGGATCTGCCTCCACTGTTACCAGTACTTTGGAATAGATTTCGGACACTTGCTGCTCTTGTGTGTCAAGAGCTTCCAGTTCAGTCTGACATGGGTGCATTTCTTTGGCAGTGCCCATATTTTGTGCCTTAGCTGCAAGGGAAGCTGGGAAAGTGACTACATGAATTCACTTTTGTAGTGGAGAAAGGGCCCTGCCTCAAAAGGTGGGGCATTTCCCAAATGTCAGAATAGGATACAGAAACCTGAATGCTACAAAGGAAGAGATGTTTACTGAAGACACCCAGGAAATTGTTGGCATTGATTACTTTTGGCTCGTGTAATTGGGAGAATTGACTGGGGAGCAGAGGGAACCTTTTACTTTACTCTCTTGTGCTCCTTAAATAAAAAACATTTATGTAGCAATGATAATATGACCATGGGGAAAATGAACAAAAGGAAATATTTTTTTCCTCGTCCAGTTCCACTGTAATGTTTTCACATAGGAATCCAAGAAGGCCTCTCAGTAATGGAGTAATTCTGTCAACTTCCTCCTACTCAGTTTCATTTAAAAATTTGCCTTACAATTTCCTTTTGAATTCAGTCAACTCCATACTGCTTATACTTGGTTGGGCAGAGGAATCATAAAATGGGCAGAGGAATCATAAAATGGGCAGAGAAATCATAAAATGTTTTTTCTAGGATACCAGTGGCTATTTTTTATTTTGGCCTAGTGGAACTGACTTATTTTCTCTGTGAGTTCCACAGGATTTAGCTTTGAAAATTAGGGTGTTGTCAGCTGCTACAGTTGATAAATGTTCATAGATGCAAAGTACAAAAATAAAATATGCTTAAAAATTTGGCCTCACTATGTGGTTTTATTTTTCCCTCCCAAACCTTTATAAATTTGATCCTTGACAGAAAACTTGTCTGGGAACTTAATTTAGTTCAATAAAGTTTTAGCAGAGATGTTAAAAAATTTTTATACCTTATTTTTCTGAATAGTTTTAGATTTACAAAAAAGAAAACAACTGTGAATGTAGTACAGAGAGTTTCCATACACCCCACAACCAGTTTCCGGTTACTAACATCTTACATTAGTACAGTACATTTTGATACCTTATTATTGACTAAAGCCTGTACTTTATTATCTTAGTTTTTACCTAATATCCTTTTTCTATTCCAGGATAGCTGATATGTTTCATACCTTTATATTGCATTTTTTCATCTGTATAGTTATCTCATGAAGCTGTACGGTAAATGCTATTTCTGTTATAAATATGGAAGAATAAGTAAAGCTTTGACACAATGAGGTTCTTATACTCTTTTATGCAGTTGTTACACGAGAGAAAATGATTAACCTTTCATTTCCCCCCTGTTTTATATTCAGTGGAACAGGTTCCTGTAGAACCGTACACCATCCCCCTGTCCCAGGCTGAGGTCATACAGGAGGGGAGCGACGTGACTCTAGTTGCCTGGGGCACTCAGGTCAGTAAACATTTATACCAGCTGGTAAGGTTCATGTGCTTGGAAGCTCTTACTCGAAATCTTGATACTATGAAGAATTGACACTGATGCTTTGCTTATATCAAGTTTATCTTGTTTGGTGCTACGTCTCTATTTGGTACTGATTTTTGATTGAAGGTCAGGTGTTTGGTCAGTCATTAAAATATATGTGCATATGGTGAAGCCATTAAAAATATATTGAGTTTATAAAAATGTATTCATTAAAAACACTGTTTCTTTTGAAGCACATTTTACCTACCCACTATTTGTTCCACTTTACTTAGTATTTTCTTTTTCCCCTCATCTGTTGCTCTCTCTCACAATTACTTTGCTGACCATATGGACCCATCTAACGGTACAGCCTCAGAATTCCCTGCCTTTCTCTTTTCCAGTAAACTTCACCACTGACCTACCTCCACTTTCCCCATCGCTTGTTGTCACATTGCTCTTACCTCTAAGCATTTAAGCTCAGAACTCTTTCTTGGACCATACTTTCTCTTGTACTTCTCAATCACCTTTTAAAGAAGTGCTCAGTTTTTCTTTTCTCTGTGTACAGGAAATACTTGTTTATTTTAGAAAATTTAATATGGTAGTACAAAGAAGATAATGCAAATCATTTGCAGTATCACAACCTCCATTTCTTTTCTCCACTTGATTTTTGACTTGGAGAGGTCCAGTCCTTATGGTTTCTCACCTCCAGTGTGGAATCTTTCTATTCACATCCCTGTCACTCTCAGCCTGTGTCCTTGCCTCCCTTTTTGATACCAAAGCTAGAGTGTATTAGATAGTAACTGCTATTACTTATTTTCCCTTTACACCTACCAGTTCTTTCAGTCCTTTCCTGTTTTCCTTGTCTTCAAAGGAGAGGTGTCTGGTTGTTATAACTGCCTCTCCAAATCTGTTTCAGGTCATAGTCCATTTATTTTCTTCAGGACTGGGATACAGCAATTGGTCCCTCTCCTGCATCTTCAGTTTCTTCTTTCCTTGTCCCTTTATTAAAAAGTGTGTATTTCTTCACTGTCTAAAAAGTACATTTTTCCACCTTACTTTTCTTTTAAGTATCAGTATACTTTCCTTTTTCCTTTTAATATCAACCTTGAACAATTTCTACCACCAGCAGTTAATTCCTTAACTTCCTTATGGTCTTGTATTTTATGAATTCTGTTCCCACTAATTCACTATATATCTGCTAACATCACTAACATTCAAATTGTTAGATCCAACTCTATCCCATATTGCTGTGGTATATGACACTGGTTACTGTCTCTATGAAATCCTTCCTTAGCTTCTGGAATAGGCAGTCTCCTGATTTTCTTCCTGTTTCTTTCTTTCTTTTTTCTCTCCTTTTTTGGTTTTTGTTTTTAGTGACTTCCTCTTCATCTCTTTTCCCCTTCAATGTCGGTCATGTACAGGGCGCCATGATTTCTGTTCTTTACTGTTCCCTATAAATGCTTTCCCTAGAAACGCCCACCTATTCCTGTGACTTTTCCTCAGTGCTGACATCTTTGGAATGACATCTCTAGCAATGACTGCTCTCACTTTAAGAACCTTTTCTCAGTTGTTTTCTAGACACCTGTATTTGATTATTTTGGTGGAATATGGGGTTCAATATGTCTAAAACTAATTCATTAATTCTCTATAAAGGTCAATTCCTCTGACTTTAAATATTACCTCTGTTGTATAGTTCTACAATACATCATATGTATATTGTCTTGTGTGTTCACCACACCAAGTCAAGTCTCCTTCCATTACCCTTTGTCTCTTCTTTACCCTCTTCTACCTCCACATGCCCCATATATAATTTTATTAATCAGTGCCACTCCGTAAATTCAATAAAAATAAATTTAAAAATATACTACCGCTGTGATTGTACCAGAACTCAACTGATGTTTTAGGCTTTAATTTCTGTAGTTATTTTCTACATATTTCTCTCCTTATTTTAGGTTCATGTGATCCGAGAGGTGGCATCCATGGCTCAAGAAAAGCTTGGAGTATCTTGTGAAGTCATTGATCTGAGGACTATACTACCTTGGGACGTGGATACAGTTTGCAAGGTATGAATACAGTGTTGATAGATGTCATTCCCTTTAAATCTTGGGCAAAGTTTCTTAGATATTTGCAGAGAATGGTTTTGAAATTTTGAGCTTTGTGAGCATTTTTCAATTGATTTAAAATTTAAAAATTTTATACAATGAAAGAAATGTATGTTATATAATAAGCCAAATGTTCAAGAACACAAATCGCTTAGGTTTTTCCTCCCATAGTTATCTAAGTTGAGAATATTACAGATGTATCCTTCATATGGCCTCCTTGGGTTGAGTTGTGTCAGTAATGGAGTAGCGCAAATAAACACGGGGAGGTGATCTGTGTTTTAAACTTCTGATTCATTAGGGTTTAATAAGCTAGGTTTAATATAGTCCTAAATGGCTTGGCTAAATTTTCTTTTGTTTCTTCTCCAAAAGGAATGGAGATCAATTATTTAAAAAACTAACTCTTAGCCTTAATACTAGGGATCATAGTTTGAATATTATGTTGTGGGCTTCTGTCTGCTCTGATTTATAGTGTTCTATCTGAGCTTCCTCTTGAACTTTTGCCTGATTACATTGATCTTGTTGCCTACTATTAATACAATTCATGTAATTCGCTCTCAAGGATACAGTTTAGTTCTCATATACTGGATATAATCAATATCATCCACTTCCATGTTGGAATATAAGTAAAGTTTGTTTTTTTGTGATGGTTTTATCTACTAAAGTTTAGGTAACATTACATGTGTTTTTTTTGTTTTTATTTTTTTGATTTATTCCTTTAACAAGTAGTCATAAGACCTCAGGATATTTTGTATTTACTATTTTTAAGAACTTTGACATTCTCATAGCTTTACATCTATTTCTTAGGCTAGTTACATAAGAATAATGTGCAGTTACTACTGCTATAAAAGTGTAGCATAGAATGTTTTTAGGTGAAGACTATCATGCATGTATAAAAACTTTATGCAAAAAAATAAAAATATTATTCAGAGAGAATAAAGAATATCCAAACTAACTGAAACGCATACCATGTCAATGATTATAAGGCCAAGAATAACTAAGGCAATTTTGAAGAATAAAGCTCGAGGACTTAATTATCAAGTGTCAAAATGTGTTATAAGGATGCAGTAATTACAGCATTATATTTGTGTAAACATAGACAAATAGACCAATGAACAGAATAAAGAGTCCAGAAATAGACTGTTGGGTTATCTGATCCAGGACAAAGGTGAAATTGCATTCAGAGAGGAAGAGGTTGTCTTTTTAATAAATGATGATGGTTTAGTTGGGTAACATGGAAAATATCACACAAATGTCAACTCCATTTGGAATTCCAATTCTAATTGTCAAAGAAGAAAATGATGAAGCCCTTGGGTGAAAGCATAGGTGAATATTCATCCCTATGATCTTGGGCAGGCAAAGATTTCTTAAAACAAAACTGAAAACTAACATTTTTAAAAGGATGATAAAATTTGACTTAATTAAAATTTTAAAAACTGATTCATCAAGAAACCCCAATAAGAGAGTAAACAGACAACCCACAGATTTGGGGAAACTCATCAACATTTGTATTCAGAAATATAAAATACTCTTACAATTAAAAATAAAATGGACATCCCAATTGAATTATAGGCAAAGTCTTGAAAAGGCACTTCACAAAGGGGGATATCCATATGGTCAATTATAATATGAAAAAAGTGTTCAGCTTCTTTTAGTCATCAGGATATACAAATTAAAACTACAATGTGATATCATTAAAGACATCGTTCTGGCTAAAATGAAAAACACTCAAATACCAAGTATTGCTGAGGATGTGGATCGAACCCATCTCTCATATGCTACTGTTGGTAATATAAATTGGCACAACCATTGACATTATTTACCTGGATCCTATGATCCAGCAGTTCCATTCCTGTGTATATACCCAACATAAATGTATGAAAGGTAATTTTGAGAATTTGTCTAGGAGCACTATTTCTAATAGCGTCACACTGTAAACTACCTAAATGCTCATCAACCAGAGAATGGAAAAAAGTAATTGGAATGTTGCTTGGCAATGAGCATGAACCAACATTTTAAAGGAACAGTGTGTTTTCATCTCACAAACACATTGTGAGATGACTTTAAAAAGCCATATTCAAATGAATACATAGTATATTATTCAATTCACTGTATTTTGCTCTGTATAATGCTCTCCCATGTATAATGTGTACCCATGTTTTTTGTGCACATCATACCCATGGTATGTAATCATTATATCCATGTATAATGAGCACCCTTATTTTTCCCTCAAAAATTTGGGCAGAAAAATTGTGCATTTTACACGGCAAAATACGGTATTTAAAGTTCAAAAATAGACAAAACTAATCTATGATGTTAGGTCAGTGATTAATCACTTGTATGGTAGTTAATAGTTTAAAAAGAGTATGAGGGAGGGAGTTTCTTGTTCTTAGTGCTGGCTACATAGGTTCAATTTTTGAAAATTGAGCAGAACACTCATTTTGTGCTCTTTTTTGTATACTGTTACACTTTAATAGAAAGTAAAAAAAAAAAAAAAAAAAAAAAAAAAAAAAGAACTGTGCTCCTGTTGATTCATTTGCTTGGATTACTGTTGTAGTGTGCCTTTTTGTAGGCTCTGGGAGAGCCTTGGTGTGCACTGACGTGGGGAGTTTGTTTTGTCATTCAGCTCTCTCCACACCCCTCGTTCCATTTTTCATAACCCAGCTCAGCTGTCACACTGATGCAACATAGGATCTCAGAAGGGGAGCTGCCATTCCAGAGTCTTCCTAGGAGTAAGAATGGTGGTTACAAGTTGTAGGCTTGAATGGGCTTTCCTGCTGAATCAAAATGAGTTAAAAAGTGAGCCACAGTGTTGTTGAAGTGGCCTGAGAGATTTAGGCCTTGAGGTGTTGTCTAGCTTGGAAAGATTTTCTTTTTTTAATGAGTAGAAATCCAGGGAAGCTGCCTATGACAAATAAGAACTTGATTTTGACAGGAGAATGAGAAGCTTTGAAAGAATTTTCAGGATTTTAAGAATTATGTTGTTATTCAACTTAAAATCAACTACATAAAACATTGTAAAAAAAGAAAAACAACAGTTTACAAGGTGATTTTCATGTGTTTATGGGAAAAATTGACTCAATTTTTTTTCATCCTCATCTAAGGACATGGGTATTGATTTTAGAGAGAAGGGAGGGGGAGAGGGGAAGAGAGAGATACATCAATGTGGGACAAAACACCTATCTGTCTCTACTAACCCACAACCTAGGCGTGTCCCCTGGCCTGGAATTGAACTTGCGACCGACCTTTTGTTTTATGGGACAACACTCCACCCAACTAAGCTACACCAACCAGGGCAAAACTGACACTATTTTGACATGCTTACACTTTAATTGAAGATTAAATTATGCTAATTATTGAAATAAATCAGAGTTTGCCTTTATACCTTGGAGTCTTTTTGATTTCTCTCTTTCTCTCATGCTCTGCCTTCCTGCATTAAATTCCAAAGCAGACTTTGCTGGCATTACCTGTACAGTATATCCAGAATCAGACTGCCTATACTGCTGTTACTTTTGATCCTGGTCCAGACTGCTATGCTAGCCTTTCTCACCTGTGTTTTGGCCAGAGCCTGCAAACTCTGTCTGTACATTTGACCTTTCTTTGCCATAGGCAGAGTGGATCTTTCAAATATGAGTCACATTATATGTCTACTAGTCTTAAAAGGCCTCACTGTTTTCTCATTCAATTCAATGGGAAAGTCAAATTCCTACAGGGATTTTTACCTCATCTTACCATATTTGACACCCTTTAGGAGGTGCTCTTGGTTGACTCTGTTAGGTCACTACTGAAATACCATTTTGTTATTAAGGCCTTCCCTGACCAACTTATTTAATACTGAATCCCACTAGGACCCACTTTTTTTCCTTTCTTTTCCTCTAGAGAGATTAACACGATCTAACATGTTATTTTATTATTTATTGTAGATCTTTCTTATCCTATTAGAAGATAAGTTCTATGAGGGCAGGGATTTTGTCTTTTGGTGCACTACTGAATTCTCAGCACCTGAAACAGTGCCTGGCATAGGCTTGGTGTTTGGTAAATACTTGCTAAAAAATTATTATGAATATCAGCAAGAGAAAGGTTTGATAATATGTTATAAAAACTTAGGATATTGAAATGCTTTGGTGCTTTTTATTATTCTTGGTGCTTATACAAAGGTTTGAAAAGTAACTCTAGTATATTGTTGTGTGAATAAGTCCACTAATTTATTCTAAGTCAAAATGCCTACAAGTCTTTTTGGTTTGACCCTGTGTTTATTTTTCTTAACAGTTGTTCATTTTTTATAATAGTTTGTAAAAATTCATTTGAATTTCTCATTAGAATAGAGCTAATTTATCTGTTCTAAGAAGCAAAGTGGAATTGACTACAGTATACTTCAGCTATCTATAATTTTTGAGAAATTATGGGTTCTTATGATAATTCCATTTTCTTCATAGATGAGACTATTCTGTGTACAGGTTTAAATACTTTTTAACCTTTTGGATGCCAATATTCTCAGAACCTTTTGTATATAATTTCATCTTTTAAAAATAGTCCAAATAAAGATGGATTATTATATTGTATTAAGGCATATGCATTTATTTAGGCATAGAGCTGTTTACTTTTTCATTGGTACATTTCTGTGCATAATTTTTGTGGTTTTAAGCCTTTTTACATTTAAATGTTACCTTTTTGCTTTGACATATTGCTGGCTGTGCATGGAATCCAAATGACCAAGTGTTATAACTGAGACTTGTACATTGGCCAAGGAGGGCCTGTAATGTTTTCTTATGGATCAAGAACAGTTCTTTTACCTTTCTAACCTTATGAGAACAGTTTAAGCTTTTCAGAACCTTTCTCATCTCATTTCCTTGGCTGCAGTGCTGGTGAGTCATTGTCATGGAGTTTAGAACTGAAAGAGGTCAGCCTACGCCTGTTCCCTTTGGTCTTCTTTATGTTCCCAGGAGTGACCTGTGACTTTTTCA